AAAAGGTTTTTTTTTTTCTTTTTTCGGAGGGGTCCATAAGTGGGCCAGTGTAGATGGTGTAAATGTATCTAAAAACAGCATTTATGCAGCTGTTAAGGTATATGTAATTTAAGAAAGTTTTTGTTTTTCTCTTTTTTTTTTTTATTTCAGGACTTCTTCAAGAGTTTGAGGCTGTTGAAAAGACCAACCCAAACTGTGTGATCATTGCAGATGCAGCAGAAAACTTTTCCTATCAGAATCTGAATGAGGCATTTCGGGTCCTCATAGGATTGGAAAAGCCAATATTATTTTCCCTTGGCCAGGGGTAATAAAGGCAGACCAAATGTATATCACAGAATTAGCTAAATGCTTCTGATTTTCTGGCTTTTCTCCTTTCTTAGAAGATACTACAAGGAGACAGATGGGTTAAAACTAGACGTCGGTGTTTACATGAAGGCTCTTGAGGTATATTTGTTCTATCACTTACTCTGTTAGGCAGTATTAACTACTGCCCCTCTGCAGTCCTATTTATAAAGTAAGCTTCCTTTTTTCCAGTATGCTTGTGACTTAAAGGCAGAAGTAATTGGGAAGCCATCCCCAACCTTCTTCCAGAGTGTTCTCAGTGACATGGGGCTGAAACCACATGAGGTGAGTAACACAGTACCTGACCATGAAGACCAAACATGACATACTACACATGTAACCGTGAAAACACATGGGATAAACCATTTCAAGCCAGACACATAAGTCAACATCAGGATCTTGTCTTACTATTTGATTGATTGACTTTATTGATCTCACAGTGGAGAAATGTACTCGTTACATCGTCTCAATAGTCAAAAAGAAGAAGAAGGTGCATCATATTGATAATACCAAACCCAAATACTGCATATTTGCACCATATTTGAAATGCTCTTAACTTCCATATCAATGTCTTTTTGCACCATGTTTTTTTTCCCCCCGACACTGTTTACAATTGATCACTGCTGAGAGAAATGTCAGAGAGCTGTCACAGAGCAATTGTTATTTTGTATACACGCTGTGTATACAAATCAAGGGTGTAACTTTTTAATGAAATTTGGTGGGAACACTCTGGTAGCGGCTGATGGATCTACAGTTACTCAACCCAAAGGCTTTTATTACGTTTTTGTATTTTCCAAAAATGAGCTCAAACATATACAGTATCTATTAAATGCTTTCCTATTGTTAAGAACACAAGAGAAATCCATAGAAGGTATAATTTCAATTCCATCCATCCATCCAGAAAAATATGGATATACTTCATTTTAAATATAGCATAGCATATTTTCTTCTTGTAAACTTTCTGGTAAACTTGGAGATATATACCCCATTTACACTACCCTTGAAAAACCGATCCATGCCGAGACCGGTTCGAGCTCGGACATTACCACCAACTACTTGAATGCAGTGTGAATCGGGATGTGCAGCCAGACGGAGATGACGCGTTCTGCTCATGCGTTCTTGTTCTCAGAGAACCGAGCCAGGGAAAAACCGAGCCGAGCCCACCGCTGGAACTGGTCTGCAGTTAGCGCGGTCTGGTTGTGTCTAGCTCAGTTCAGTTCAGTTTGCTTTCCATTTACACACGATAAGTTATCTCAGTTACTGAGCTTGGACCGGTCTCTGCACGGTTTTTCAAGGGTAGTGTAAATGGGGTAATATTTTATTGCATGTTGCATATCCCAGTAAATCTGTCTCACGTTTAAATTTGCAGTTCTCCCTACTTCTGTCTGTGCTCTGTTTAAAAAGATTTAATAACATCTTAACTAATATGATGCCAGAAACTTAATTCTTTCTGTACAATATGAAAACATGTGTTAAATTTAAAATGTAACTGTGAGTCATGGTCCTCTGAGAAGGCAAGCTTTTTTAACAAATAAAGCAGAACACAACATTTAAAATATGTTTTCTCAAGCCTTTTCCTTTGTAATAATAACTTGAATAAAATTGCAATCTAATCTAAAAAGCTCCATATATCTGACGAACAGAGTTTTCGGTGGTATCTTTAATTTTTTTTAACCAACCCGTCTCCTAACTTTTACTTAAACACACATCGAAGTAGCTGTCGGTTAATGCTGCTGCGCGTCTCTCCTTCAACCAAGTAGCTACTTTGTACGCAGTGAAATGTGACCGCAAATCAGATGCCTCGAAGCGCCCACTGGGTATTAAATATAAAAACAGGTTATTGCACAGGGTATTAAATTGTAATTGCACATTAGATATTGCAAAAGTTATTACTGTTATATAGTGTGTCAAATATTATATAATTAAAGTAATATAAGTTAAGTTAATGAGATAATGGTCCTTATATATATATATATATATCCCATTAAAAGGAGATATCTGTTCTTTAAGCTATTAGAAATGAGAAAAGAAAGATAACAATAATTACCAGTACTTAAAACATTGTTTTTTCAACATGGTTCAACGAGTAAGGGAGAGCATTGAACTCTCTCAGCTAATATACAAATGTTCTTTTCTTCTTCTGCTTTCATTTTAGGCTCTTATGATTGGAGATGATCTTGTGAACGATGTAGGAGGAGCCCAATGCTGTGGCATGAAAGGGGTGCAAGTTAGAACAGGCAAATACAGGTCAGTTTCTTTGTGGTGATGTTTAGCCTCTTTTGGGTATATATCGGATATTCCTTCCCTCTTTGGAACAGGGTTTCCATTCCAAAGCATCCCTGAAAGTTTAAAAAGAAGAGCAATCTCATTATCTTAAAAATAATAATAATTTTTTTTTAATAATTTCCTTTCATAGATTATATCCAACAACCATATGTGTTACACCTTGCATCAAGAACCCGATGATGAGCACAATGTTTATTTTCTACCACATGATGGCGCAGCTTGAGCATATTTCTGCATTAGTGTCCACAAAGCCTCCTGTGAGCCACCCAAGCTATTCTTAAATCTTCCAGATTTGTTTGTCTAAGACTCCTCCAGAAGAAGTGTTTATCCTCTCCCCCTCATTGACCGGCATGTCTGAGTCACCCAGAGATTTATGGTCCCAAACCTCGGGATAACTCTAAACTCATCCATATGGTGTAATAACACAGAGGTTATTTGCAGATTATTTTCATTTGGCAATTATGGCTTAATGGAAACACTAAAGTCACCTAATTGGTTTGCCATTTTTCCGTTATCTTTCTTTTTTTTTTTCCAGATAGTTTCTTTCTGTGATTTTACAGAGTTTCAGCTACTGTTCTATAACCCAATGATTCTCAAACTTTTTGGACTTGTGTACCGTTTTGGGCATTTTTTGTTACCATGAGTACCCCTCTCATTCAAAAGTATTGATGATTGTCCAAAATTGGAACATACAATAACTGATTATAAAGACTATTTTAATTGATCTTTTTAACTTGAGCTTCCAATTATTTTGCATTTTATTCTTTCCAGCTCAAATAAAAAAAAAAAAAAAAAACATATTTATGTTGCCTTGAAGTTAGCAAGGAATCAAAATAAATACAAAATAAAGTCATATTATAAACCTGTAATTATAAAACTTGTAACTCCCTTATAGTCAGATTTAAACTTGATTAATGGGGAACAAAATAAAGTGTTACTTTGTTTTCACCAAAACACCTGAGCTGCTTTGAGCTCCTATAGCTTTGTGTGTAAAACAGCTCATACCAGGCTATCCTCTACATCCAGTATGTTCCTCTGCTTGGTATTGATGTGTGTCACAGCTGAAGGTGAATTCAAAAATATAAAAAAAACATAACTTTTTAGTTGATTAAGGCTTTTTTTTATTTTTTCAATTTGGTCCTCACAAAACAAAACAGATCCTAGCCATATTTTACCTTTCTACCTAAGAAATTAAATATTTTCATGTACTCCTTGCAATGCACTTGCGGACCACTTGAGGTACGTGTACCCCCACTTGGGAAACACTGCAATAACCTAACTTTCCTTTAACCTAACTGTATCTGTATTTCTGTTCTCTCTGATGTGCTTTGTGGTCTTTGTAATGTTTGTTGGCTAATGATCTGGAATAACCTCTATAGACACTAGATTAATACTAAGATGGAATGACTCTGAAGTAGGGCTGAAACATTTTCCCAAAAATCATAATTTTAGATTTTATTTTTTTTCAACCAGTATTTTGATTGCGATTTATTTACATAGTTTACCATTACCTTAACTACAGTCTAGTATTGCACCGATACCAATACCAGTATCGGGCAGGGCTCTGATCCAGCACTAAAATGGTGGTATGTGTATTGCAATACCGACAAATAGGGCAGCGATACCATTTTGAGAGCCAAAAGTTTATTCAACTATTGTCCCCCATTCCAGATAGACAATAAAAAGTTCTACTGGATTCACTTTGTATTAGTCTTTTTCCTGCTCCACAAACAGGTTTTAACCAGAGTAGAAAAAGAAGTGGGAGGCCGCGTTGCACAACTGAGCAAGAAGATAAGTACATTAGTCACTAGTTTGAGAAACAGACGTCTCACAGGTCCCCAACTGGCATCTTCATTAAAAAGTACCCGCAGTAGCCTGTTTGTGCTGTCCTCTGAAGGGAGTAGTACACACTGTTGTAGTAAATCTTCAATTTCTTAGCAATTT